ACCCATTCCTGGATCCCTCTATGGCCCCCCCCCCCCCCCCCCTGCTTTTCTATAAGCACTTTATTTATGCTTTAAATCTTTTTCATTACTTTTTCATATGTACCTTCTCTCTTCTTCAAGCTGATTGGCCAGTTCCATTTTGTCTTTCTGTGTGCTTGCCAGCAGGGCTCGGACTTGCTGTAGGTTGCTCTCTCCCTCTGTTGCATACTGAATGAGATAATGAGAAAAGGTCATTGTTTTCAATTAATCTGAATGTGGTGTTAAATGGAGTGTGTAAGTTTGTATTTGTGAGTAAATGTAGAAAATGGAATGCACATATACAGTTAGTGTTGTGTTTATATGTGTGAGTCACACCTGCAGATGTCGGGCCTTCAGTGCCGTCAGCTCTTTTTCCACTTCGCAGATATGGCTGGTTGCCTTGGCGAACTCGGCCCGCTCCAGGTCTCTCTCGACCAGGAGCTGCTCAATGTGCTGCTGTTTCTCCTTCAGGGCTTCCTGCAGAGCCGTTGTCCCAGAGATCTTCCGCGCATACCTCGACGATGTCTCTGTCAGCTGCCAGAAACAGTGAAATGAAATGAGACTACTGAAATCAAATCCGCACAATGATTACACATTAAATTGTTAAATGGCAAAAAATAAAGTGATAAAACGCATTATGGCCCCTTTAACAGTCACATCAGGAAGCAACGTTGCAAAATGTCAACATAAGATATGATTTGCATTGGCACTTTCTTTCTTGGCATTTTAACATCTCTTACCAGGCCAGTGCGACTGGGTCGCCCCCCCACGCTGGAGGCCACAGAGCTGACAGAGCTGATAGAGGAGCTGGAGGGGCTGTGAGCCAGAGATGACACACCCATTGCCATACGCTTGCTCTTCTTAGCTTTAGCTGGACTGGTGGATGGGAAGCCAATGCGGATTACCTTGTGAATTGGAGCAAAGAGGCCAAACTTAGGCGGGCACTGGAAATATCTAAAAAGAGAGACCGAGAGAATAAGGAAGTGAGGGAGGAAATAGTTCAGTGATGAACTGTAAGAAATGCAAAAACGGATCTCGCTATATTGTTTGTGATTGAGGTTACTCTAACATTATTTAGAATTATTGGAATTTATATTAGGAATTTCAGAGTGTTTCTTTTAGAGAGAAGCATCTGCCTTTTACTTGTAATGCAGAGATTGTTAATTTATATGATAATATAATAAATCACGAACATAAATCATGCGTATGAGCTGGAATTAACATTACAATGTCAACATATGCACTACCAGTAAGATATCAGTAAGAAAAAACATGTATCGCAGTTTTTACAAAAATATTAAGCAGTACAACCATTTTCAAATGAGATAATATTAAGAAATGTTTCTTGAGCACCAAATCAGCATATTAGAATGATTTCCGAGGGATCATGTGACACTGAAGACTGGAGTAATGACTGCTGAAAATTCAGCTTTGCCAATAAATTACATTTTAAACTCTATATTAAAATAGTACATTTTAATATAGTTAAAACAGTTACTGTAATTATAACACTATTACTGTTTTTACTGTAAATACATAAATGCAGTCTTGATAAGAATAGAAGCTCTTGCAACACTTTTGAATGGTAGTGTAATAAAGGTCTGTTGTAATTACTGTTGTCTCTTAGTAAACGTTTCTTTTCTTATCATCTGAACTGAACACAGGCAGATGTCCAGCCTGATGTCAAGCTCTCATTATAAAAACAAACAACATAATCTACTAAATCTGGCCTTGGACCAAATGTCAACAATTAATGAGTATCCATGAAGCTGCTTATTCTTGTTTGGAACTCAACCATTCCAGTTCTTCACTGAAAAGACAGCAGAGGTTTAACCTTGGCTCAGCATGTGAATCATTACGTGTCCAAATTACTTGGCCTGTATTTTACCACTAAAAGTCAACATGAAACTGCATTTGCAATCCCTTTTACTTTAGTAATGTGACATTATTTACCTCAAAAATTATGTAGGGTGGGCGTTTGTCCATCAGGAATTGTTTGGATCGGGAACGGTGAACATTAAATATCTGAATGCAGTTATTTAGTAGATGTTTATTAGATATTTATTCAAGTTATTAGATGTTGATCAAAACAGGAATAACATGCACTGATTAATTGCCGAATAAGACCAGGATGTATTAAAAAAAATCAAAAAGTGTCCATTTTGATTCCATGTTGTACACTCTAAAAAAAGATGGTTCTTTAAAAGTTCTTTACATGTAGTAACAGTTCTATTTCATGCTAAAATTGTTCTTTGTGTTAAAGTTTAGGGCTCTTTATTCCCGCCCTTTCATTTTTTTATATTTTTTTTTAATCTGTAACTGTCAAAACAGCTCATTACTGATTTTCTGAAGCTCAGTGATCCAACTAGAAAGGATATGTCACAGTCGGTGGTAGTGTGAGGAGCGCGGAACAGGGAATGAGGAGACCAGGAGTACGAAACAGAGGGATTTATTCTTGTCACAGGGAATCACACGTACCACGAGGAGAAGACATCAACATACACGTGACAGATCGCCCCCCTCCCGGACGGCGAGTCCCGCGCCGTAACAATACCATCGGGGAGGGGGGCCGGGCGCCCTGGAGGCTGGTGCAGGACTGGAACTGGGCCGAGACAAAGAGAGCCTCCAGGGCAGATCAGGAAGCCATGGCGGAGCAGGCAGTTCGGGAGGCCATGGTGGAGCTGGGGACTCGGGAGGCCATGGCGGATCGGGGGCTCGGGAGGCCATGGCGGAGCCAGGGAATCGGGAGCCCTCCGTGGGCTATAATCGGGATCCGAAGCCCTCCCTGGGCTTAACGGGGAAACAGGAGCCCTCCCTGGGCTTAACGGGGAAACAGGAGCCCTCCCTGGGCTTAACGAGGAAACAGGAGCCCTCCCTGGGCTTAACGGGGAAACAGGAGCCCTTCCTGGGCTTAACGAGGAAACAGGAGCCCTCCCTGGGCTTAACGGGGAAACAGGAGCCCTTCCTGGGCTTAACGAGGAAACAGGAGCCCTCCCTGGGCTTAACGGAAAATCAGGACAGGGAAACAGGAGCCCTCCCTGGGCTTAACGGGGAAACAGGAGCCCTTCCTGGGCTTAACGAGGAAACAGGAGCCCTCCCTGGGCTTAACGGAAAATCAGGAGCCCTCCGTGGGCTACACTCGGGAACAGGAGCCTTTCCTGTGCTTAACAGGGAATCAGGAGCCCTCCGTGGGCTACACTCGGGAACAGGAGCCCTTCCCGGGCTGAACTGGGGATCAGGAGCCCTCCGTGGGCTATACTCGGGAACAGGAGCCCTTCCTGGGCTGAACTGGGGATCAGGGTAGCGCTGACGTGGTGCTGGCACTGGAGGGTGCTCTGGGGGAGCAGGCACAGCAAAGCGCTTTCGAGGAGCCGGCACCGGGGGGCGCTCTGGAAGGCGCTTACGAGGAGTGGGCACTGGGGCTGGAACCGACACTGGGCCCACATGAACGGATGGCGGGCTTGCCATATTAATGTTCAATGGGCTTGCCATATTATTGTCCGGCGGGCTTGCCACATTAACATCTGGCGGGCTTGCCTGAGGAACGACCGGCTTACTTGACTCGGGAACGGCCGGCAGATGGGTCCCGGATCGGGATCGGGAGCTCTCCAGACACCGGATGACTCCCTCCTTCCAGCCGAGTTTGGTGGTGTCTGGGAGCTCTGCAGGACAATGGTAGGTTGTCCCGATCCGGAACAGCGTCAGGAGGGTTTCTCCCTCGAGGGAGCTGGCGAGGGCGAGCGGCACAAACGCCTTCGTGTAGAGAATCGGGTCGGGTTTGCCTGAGCCACGGCGATTAACATCGCTCGTTCCTCCATTTGGACAGGGAGAAAAGAATGGGAAAACAAAACAAAAACACTTTTCAAAAACCGAAAAACAAACACGGGTAGAAGGGGTGCCGCTTACTGTCACTTTTGTGGTCTGGAATTCTGTCACGGTCGGTGGTAGTGTGAGGAGCGCGGAACGAGGAACGAGGAGACCAGGAGTACGAAACAGAAGGAATGTTGTCACAGGAAATCACACGTACCACGAGGAGAAGACATCAACATACACGTGACAGGATAAGAGTCTGTGACCCGTTAAGAAATACTAACATTTGTTTCCCGGGGATTAATCATATCACACATCACGCACCTGCAGCGCTTTTGTCAGCGCATAAAAACATAATAAAGCTAGACTATATACAGTGGGTACGGAAAGTATTCAGACCCCCTTAAATTTTTCACTCTTTGTTATATTGCAGCCATTTGCTAAAATCATTTAAGTTCATTTTTTTTCCTCATTAATGTACACACAGCACCCCATATTGACAGAAAAACACAGAATTGTTGACATTTTTGCAGATTTATTAAAAAAGAAAAACTGAAATATCACATGGTCCTAAGTATTCAGACCCTTTGCTCAGTATTTAGTAGAAGCACCCTTTTGATCAAATACAGCCATGAGTCTTTTTGGGAAAGACCCAACAAGTTGTCCCCTCTCTATATATATATATATATATATATATATATATATATATATATATATATATATATATATAAACGAATAAATAGGCCTATACGAGAAACATATTTTTACTTACTTTTACTAATAAAACAAGAAAATTAAAGTAAAACGTAGCCTGCAGAGCTTCGGTTCATTTTTGTGCTGCGCGAAAGGCAGCACAAAAATGTCTGCAGAAAGCGGCATCCTATTTTTCTTTAGGCTTGTTTTACAAAAGATCAAAGATTTGTTTTTATTGTGAATGTACACAAATAAAGGCAAACCTTTTACAATTCCGATTATCTTTATGACTAAAAGGAGTAGTTGCGTCCACTATTAGAATGAAAAAACTCAAGTGATTGCACCGGCGCCACATGCGCGCACACAAATAAGCTTTGCTACCTTGACAATGCAGCCTGTTCATTATCATAATAAAGTCAGTCAAACATATGGGGAAAAAAACTATGTAGTAAAATCTGTGCCGTTAAGCCGTGATGTTATGCAAAACATTTTGTTTTACGCGGATATTGGAAAGAGAGTGAAGTACATAATAAATAATAATTTGCCATCCAAATACATCGCGAATACGGAAACATTTGATTTTGTGTGGAATGAGAGACCCAACAATGGTTTCAGTTTCGTTTTAGCCTAAATTAATTAGTTTTGGCTTGTCATTTATATTGCTATAGCTTCTTATATTTTAAATTCTTGTTTCTAAATACTGTTAATTGAAAGGATTTGTTGTTGAGTGAGGGGAACTAAAATAGCCTAGCTATGTTTACAGTGTTTATTATAATTAGTGGTCAACCGATATTGGTTTTTTGACAGTCGATGCCGATATCTTGGAAAGCAGGGTGTTAAATAAACATACTTATACTTTGGATGACAAAGTCTTTTTCACAAATAAATAAATATTTAATAAAAAATATAATAAAAAAAGGAAGTAAACACTGTAACCAACAGGGCACTCAGTATTCTGGGAAGTTTGTGTGCATTGGGAATCATATTTTTTCAAATAAAGCCAAAGTAACACTCATTTTACATACAGCACACAGTGGAAATGACATGAATATGGCAGTGGGCAAATGCATAAAGCGCAGCATAATTTGAAATCATGAGTTTAAAGTTTGTCGATCGCGCGTCTCAGTGAAGCTGAACTCTCCACCTGTCCGTATTCAATTCACACGACCGTCACGCAGAGAACACGTGATCATGCAGGATACAAATGCACACTTCACAAGATGTCACAACTGGATCCGACTAAGTTTGCAAGCTTTGTGAAATTAAATGTTCATTAGTCATTCAAAGATTTGTTTAAATGATATAAATGCGTATTTGCTGAATGCTCATGGCAAACAAGAAAGTATTATAATGTTTGCCTTTCTATTACTATAATAATATAAAAGCAATCGTTATAATACTTTTTGTATACATTTTAATTCCTTTGTTTAACCATTCTATCTGATAATTAGACAGACTTCTATCTGTACTAGACAGAACTGAACGACGACAGCGAACAAGAGGGAGAAGGTGAGCACTGTATGCTCAGGCGCTGCCGCTGTCAGATATATCGGCCTGGTCAGTTAACCGGTTAAATGGTTAGAAAGAACACCCCTAGTTATTACAGATTGTTTGATTTGTGTATTTGTGCGTTTTTAACCTAAATCACAGCAGGATGTAGGCTGTCAAACATACACAACTGTTAGTCAATCATAGCGGTGGGCATTTACTTCCGAGTCTACAATCTCCCACGCCTATTCATACAGAGCGTTCTGATGAGGGGGGTCAAAACAGGACAGAAAATAGCATGTTACTTCTAAATTATGACGTTTTTTGATGTAAAAATCTTGATAACATTATAAGTGGAAAACAGTACAAAACATAAAAAAATCTAAGATTGAGAATTGTGAAGATATTTTACTGGAACTTGGTCTTCATCGCATCTATTTTTTTTGTTTTTATTTTGTTTTACTTCTTTTATGTATCTATTCATGTTCGAAGTCAGTTGTCATTTATAAATGTATTCAGCTGAAAACTGTTGTTAAGAGCACTGGCATTTTTGCTACAATTTCACGTCAATAAAAAAGTACCTAATTCATACAACTTATTGTTGGTACTGTTTTTTTAATGTAAATACCTAATAGAGGCCCCACTCTAAAAAAAAAGATGTCTCATTACTGATTTTCTGGAGTTCAGCCATACATCTACACAGTCAACACACTCTCAACAGGTAAATTATTTCTTTCTTAAAATGTCTATAATTTTTAACTGTCAAATTGTAACTAGTTTCCTACCAACGTCTTTTTCTCTTTTTTAGTTTAACAGAACATATAAGTGTGAGCAGCTCTGTTCAGTTAAGGTACTTCTCTCCTCTTCACCACTAAGTAAGGAACATAGAAAAAAAAAAAATTTCTAAAATGTATTACTTGTATTTATGCATAAACATACCCAGCCACAGCTATCCCATGACTTTATATTACTTTTTTCCTTTTAACATTGTGAAGCGCTCATATACTACTTTTGGCTTTCATAAATAATTGTTTTAACATAAACTAATGGAAAAAGACACATTGTAACTCTAAACTCAATTGTGTATTTCAGATGCATCACATCCCACAACCTCATCACCTGTAGGAGAAACTGCCACTCAATCACACCAAAACACATAATGATGGACTTAAAGGCATCATTGAGGATTGTGAAAATAGGGTATTTCACTGTATCTTGGTCTTCATTACATTTTCTGTTTCTATCTTATCTTCTTTAAGTATTTATTTATGTTCAATGTCAACTGCCATTTATTAATGCGTTCTGCTAATAACTGTTGTTAGAGCACTGTCATTTTTGCTATAATTTCACATGTTATTAAAAAAAAAGTACCTAATTGACACAACATGCTGTTGTTGTGGTTGTTTTTATATAAAACCCCAATAGAGGCTACAAGATATTATAAGACCAGGCAGATAGAGTGATAGATAAATAATACAAATTATATTAATAATACTAATGTTAATTATATAAATATACAGTCACATTTTATTTTAAGGTCCAGTTCTCACTATTAACTAACTATTAACTACAACTTTTGCCTCAATAAACTCCTAATTACTGCTTATTAATAGTTAGCAAGGTAGTTGTTAAGTTAAGATATTGGATTAAGGATGTAGAATATGGTCATGCAGAATAATACATCAATATGTGCTTTATAAGTACTAATAAACAGCCAATATGCTAGTAATATGCATGCTAATAAGCAACTAGTAAATAGGGTGAATTGGTCCCTATACTAAAGTGTTACCAAATATAATAATAATAATCAAAATAAACTATCATTAAAAAGGTTAATTATAACACCATTAAGCTATATAGCATTTTCAAAGCATGGTTCTTTATGGAACCCTATAAAAAAGGTTCTATTTAGCACCAAAAAGGGTTCTGCTGCTGTTACAAGCTGAAGAACCCATTTCTGTGTACAGAAGGTCACACTACAACTGATATTTATTAACATACTAAACAGACTTTAAAACTCGTTTAAGAAGGCATGAAACAATGAGACCTCTTAATACTGAAGGCCATTGAGGGTGTTGCTAAAGACAGGACATGTTAGCAGAAGACTAATGATGTACCTGGTTCCAGCTACAGCTCCATCGTTTTTCCCTAATGGTTCGTCCAGCTCCACTCCACACCACTCGCCCTTGGCAAAGTCAGTCTCTCCCACATAACGCACTACTCCTGTTTTAGTTCCGCCAACCTGAGGAAAGAGCAGAGGAAGTTCAGAGGTACATAGTGATAACATGGACACATGGTTTATTGTGATAACAGTATAATGAAACACTCAACTGAAAAAGGCAAAAAAATTAAAAACAATTATTAGTTTTATTCTAATAAATTGCACACCATATGAGAATTATATTAAATTAATTATATATTTTATATTTATTTTACATTACTTACATAACTAAAAAAAAATAACTACAATTGAATATATTTCTTTCAACTCATGATGATACTCTTAAAATGGCCAAATATAATCTATCACTAATGAATGTCTCTCTAAAAAAATTAACGTCTAGGAAAATAGAGCTGGTCACACTGAATGTCAGCAGTGCAGTGTATTGTAGTAAAATCTGCCAGCTGGTGCTGAGATATAACTGGGAATGACTGTTGTGCTGGTTGAACTGGCCTACATTCATCAACCCAGCACTGGGGGAAAAAAGGAGGTCACAGCCTATTCATTAGTGATGGCACATCTACTACACATAAGAAAGCATATTGTGTCCTTTAGAAACAAAGAAGTGTATACACATTCTGTGTGCATCAGAAGCATGCATTCATATTACTTAAAAAAAATCTCCCTCTTTCATATACACACAATCGCAATTGTCACAACAAAAGAGTGTAAGAAAAGTCTCTGGTTCCAAGCAAGTCACATTCAAAGCTTTTCTGGTAAATTATGCAGAGCATACAGAAATGTAAACTGAATAAGACTCTCAAGGTAACAGGGTTTCAAAGTCACAATCTGAGATTTGCTGACATTTCTCCTTAAAACTGTTTCTTTGAAAGCAATTCAGACATTATTATATATGATTGGGACATTTACTGACAGTTTTCGTGACATAAACCCATTTGAATTCTTCTTTGCTTTGCTCAGAAATAGAAAAACCTGTTTGACATACGTAATAAATTTAGACAGAGCAGAAAGACTAAAAATCATGGTTTGATATTGCAGTATTTGAATTAATAAACTATTCTGGCCAAACAATACACTACACAAAGATTGAAAATCTCGTCATCTCAAGTGCAACTGATCCAAAAATAGCCAATGACTGATATGTTGTCCTTTCAGCAGGAAATAAACCCTCTCTAAAACAATATGATCCTTTGAATGAATCAAAATGCATTTGTTTTGTGATGTTCTGTTTTTGTCAATCATTCATTGAGTAAACTTCACAATTTCACATTTTACTAACATTTAATTTTACATTATGCCCTAAAATGAACAAAGAAGAAGAATTCAAATGGGCCTAGTACAGAACCTTGGGGCACGTTTTTACAAAGAAATCGTTTTTACTCTTCTTTTTCAACCAGCCTTACACTCGAATGGTTTCTAGCAATGCTTAGTAATATGATACAGCAAAACATAACACGAAAAAGCAGGAAATCATCCATCCTTTGGCTCAATTCCACATTCATATTTGTACAGCGCTTTTCACGATACAAATCATTGCAAAGCAACTTTACAGTAAATTAAGTTTCTACAATATTTAGTGGTAGCTTATCAGTGGTGACTGTCAGTTAATGTACATATGGCAGAAATGTACGGAAAAATCAATTAAAGACGTAATCAAACAGACGATGAACACATCTGAGAGCCATTATCTAATGACTGCAATAACTAAAGGAATAGCAACAGATAAAACAAAGAATTAATGAAAGTCATACCCTCTTGGTTAGGGATCAAAAGAATGTCTACTATGAATTGCTTTGAAACAAAACTACACACATCTACAATCATACCTCCCAGCCAAAGACATACACAGACCGTTTTTCATGAGGGTCTGAGGTTTAGCCTTTACTAGAAAGTGTGAAGGAGGAGATATGTAAACAGTGGACCATAAATGCATAAACACATGCTTACATGTTTGCCCTACAGTCATGTCAACATTTACGTTTTAATCGGACTCTACTCAAATGGAATGAAAAGCCAAACTGCTTATTTGTAGCTGCTGTCAGTTTGCGAAAAGCCTAGTCTCAGCTCAGACAGCACACCCCATGTACCGCCCACAGTCTGTTCACTGACTGTCTGATGCATATTGCAGACAAGAATTGCAAATGTTGAATGAAATTCTGCGGTTCCAATTTGATTGGTTGGCCTCTAAGCACCACTGGAGGTCAGTTTTTAACCAGTCCACCTGGAAACAAAAGTTCTGAATACATTTTAACCATTGTCTATGGCGCTGTTTGTACAACTAATTGCAGAGACTACTATGTCATTATTTGAGCTTTTCCCTCCACCACTATCATTCTATTATTATAGTATGACTGACTTCAGATTTATCTGCCCCTAAATGACATGCAAAAACAAAATGTTGGTTATACAGTCTCATCCTAAGTGGGAGGTTCTTGGCCATAAGCTGTGGTGTGGACCACTTGGACAACATTGTATGTCAATAATTAAAAGCCTAGCTCTGTAAAACCTTTAAGAAAAAGAAGTGTGCCTAATAACTGAATGTGCACTTGTACTTCAAATATTAAAAGTATATTTAAAAACTGTACTTGTAAATAATAATAACAAAATAGTACTTAAATGTACTTTAAGAGAGTTCGCTCTCATTACAATTTTTTTTAAAGTGTACATTTAAAAAGTGCAACTTGTAATCAAGCCAAATTCAAATTCATTTTAAATAATAGTTTTAAGAATATTTTGTTGCGCTGTAAAAATAAGTACACTTCAAACATTCAAAAAAAAAAGTCTGATTATAATTTTAACTGTAGTGTGTTATTTGATTTTACATTTATAGTTAATATATATTTAAATGTGCTACAGTGTGGACCACTTGGACAACATTGTGTCAATAATTAAAAGCCTAGCTCTGTAAAACCTTTAAGAAAAAGAAGTGTGCCTAATAATTGAATGTGCACTTGTACTTCAAATATTAAAAGTATATTTAAAAACTGTACTTGTAAATAATAATAACAAAATAGTACTTAAATGTACTTTAAGAGAGTTCGCTCTCATTACAATTTTTTTTTAAAGTGTACATTTAAAAAGTGCAACTTGTAATCAAGCCAAATTCAAATTCATTTTAAATAATAGTTTTAAGAATATTTTGTTGCGCTGTAAAAATAAGTACACTTCTAACATTCAAAAAAAAAAGTCTGATTATAATTTTAACTGTAGTGTGTTATTTGATTTTACATTTATAGTTAATATATATTTAAATGTGCTAAATTGCAACTTTATCATTACAAATGTGTAATTGCAAATGTATTTAAATACATAAAGCACAAGTTTCAAAAGAGTGAAACTATATTCTTTAAAGTGTATGATTTCTGAAAAAGTACTCTTGGTTTTTGGTCTCTAAAAAGTATTCATGTAATTGAAAATTGAAAATGTAATCGGAATCAGAACAATAAAATTACTTACAATTTCCTTACTTACATGAGAGCCCTGCTTTATGACATTAAAGTTTAAGTTTACCATAAATGCTTGTCAGTACAGTTGGCAGCTTACTTTAACCATATTTCAGAAAGACAACAGAGGTTATTTTGGAATTACAAATGAAGATGTGCTTAAGATGTATTTCAGAGGGTCGATAAAGCTCTCTAAAATTTGGCTAATTGGATTTAATATAAATTGAAACTATAACATTTAATTTAATTGTAAATAACATGCCAGTGTTCAAAAACTTGGCATACGGTTCACAATAAACTATATTCTTTAAAGTGTATGATTTCTGAAAAAGTACTCTTGGTTTTTGGTCTCTAAAAAGTATTCATGTAATTTAAAATTGAAAATGTAATCGGAATCAGAACAATAAAATTACTTACAATTTCCTTACTTACATGAGAGCCCTGCTTTAATTCATGTCAAAGGCAAAATTCCTTTTTCCTGCTGTCAGTTTGTGGGACCTTGTCAATCTTCTAAAAAACACAGATCAAATGGCCTCAACAAAAGTTTAAAACTGAAGTAGAGGTGTTAATGTTTTCATCAGGTGGTGTTCTAAGCACTGCAAGGCATTCTGCTCCAGAAACATCTGTGGTTTGACATTAGAAAGGAGAGCATCCGGAAGAGAATATATTCAGACAGGCGCATCACATCCTCCTGCCAGTATAAGTGAGTCTGTGTGTATGCAACTGACGTGGCAGACGAGCCATAGTACGCTCCAGTGTGGATAAGGTGATAATACAAACATTCCTGAGGGAACGTTCCAGATGTGCAATATTTACTTTATCATGTCATCTCACTGCTGTTTTTTCATGTAGAAATGGTTGGCGTCCCAAACCAAAACAGCAGCAATTTACGAGGGTAAAAACATATCAAACACACGTTTGGCAAAACCTTCCAAGTCACTTAAGAGCAATATGGTTTTGAGCTGCTATCCTCTAACAGTCCTTCTGGGTGAGACAAGATCTAGACAGACAGACAGACAGATAGATATAGAATATGCAAATAACTTTTACTGTACCTTCTGACCACATTGCAGAGAAGTGCTGTTCTTCTTTTGTATTTTTGTCTTGTTTTTTCGGAGCCAATGTCTAAAGATTCTTAAATAAAGATGTATTGAAAACCAAAATGACATACGATAACAAGTCTTAATTTTTGAGAAAATTATCAAAATAAAGTGAGTTAATGAGTTTATGATTATGGCTCAGAAAAATAATCTTAATTCAAATGAAAAACATGTTTTCACAGCTCACTGACAGATATTTGTTCTTGTATAAACTCACTTAATTTCGATCATTTTCTCAAAAAGCAAGACTGCTTCCGAAATCACGTACTGCCAGAGTAGGTACTACATTTGATAAAAACTAACTTCGTGACCATTAAAGGCAGTTGTATACAGTATGAATGGATGTAGTACGAAAGCAATCCAGACGTACTATAACAGCATCGTTATGTGAACTATATCGTCATTTGCGCCATTTTCTCACCATTCACAACTCTCGAATGGCTACGTGTAACAAGTGTTCATCAAATGCACACTTGACATAATCTTGACACAAATAGTAGGTCATCCGGGTACTTTT